TAGCGGGCTCCTAAAACTCCTATGATGCGCGCACAACACATCCACAATATTTGGTCATAGGAAGAATCTTCCTATGACAAATAGTGTCATAGGAGAGCGTATCCGTATGTCGTATTTGTCATAGATGCTAGCAGAACAGGCTGCTGCTCAGTAGAGGGGTCGACAAACACCTCCAGTGTTTTCGACAAATGTCGGTGTTGTAGATCAATAGACGGGACAAATAGTTAATTTATAAATAATGCGCTGTTCCGTGGCTGAGATGAAACGGGAAAGAATTCCACGCAGTCAGTAGTACACACCGATATCTACTCCCGCACCCATGGCGCCCCCAGTTACTACGTCACGCATTCGGAATTTCGCCAGCTTTGACACTTGGGTGCACGTATCACGGTTCCGTATGCGTTGTCACATCATACCTTGGCAGGTGACGATATATTTGTGACGATGATCTCATTAGAGTAACTGGATTTCTAAATTGCGCCTCTAACTCTTAGACGGCTTTTCCGAAATCCAATCGTAAATCTAATTAATGCGGCAGTGATATTTAATTTTATTTAAAAGCAGACATATTTACGAATAATTATCTAGTGTTTTCCCCACTTGTACGACGGCTTAGTCCACCTAACGTTATTGCTTGAGTAACAGCAACTGTCTAGAATTAAGATAAAATGTATTAGAACCTTCGTATTCACCAAAACATGAGTAGAACAACTTTAGGCGAAGATATCGTCACAATGTGGGTTTCGGTGAATAGCCGAGAAAGTTACTTATGTGACGTCAGCACGCAGGACTAAACTGCCGTGTATACCGTGGGTGTATATCGACAGTCAAGTTTTGATTAGCAGGTTTTCGGGTAAAATTAAACATTGGCTCGCACAGAATATATTAACAGCAAACAATGCGTATACTTTTTAAGAAGGAAACTGAAACAAAAAAAGAAAATAGAAAAATAAAAAATAGAGCACGAGCAAAGAATAAAAAATAACATGTAAAGAAAGATATAGAAATTGTGTGTAAGCAGCGGTAAATCAACACGCTCCTCCCTAACCCCATCTGCTCTTGTAATTCACGGAGGCGAATTCGTGTGCTTGTTGTTGTTCTTTAGAAAGATGAAGAAAGGAGCGGAGCTGGCTGAATGTGGTGGAACGTCGCTAGTGATGGACGTTAAGATGACGACCGGCGCGAATCGGCGCGTCACTCAACTCACTCGGAAAAAACAGTAACGTATGTTTTCGTCACTCTCTCCATTCTCTCCTCACACACAGCGTCGTTCTTCGTCACCCTCTCCCATCCCTCTCCACACACACACAGTGCGTTTTTCGTCCACCCTCTCCCATCCTCCTCCACACACAACCCCAGCGTCGTTCTTCGTCACCCCTCTCCCATCCTCCCTTCACACACAGCGTCGTTCCTCGTCAACCTTCTCCCATCCTCCCTCACACACAGCGTCGTTCCTCAGTCACGCCTGCTCCCATCCTCCCTTCAGCCCACACAGCGTCGTTTTTCGTCACCCTTGTGGCTGACCCCATCCTCGTCTTCAGCACACAGCGTCGTCTTTGGTCACCCTCTCTCATCCTCCACCTTCACACCACAAGCGTCGTCTCCTCACCCTCATCCCATCCTCCTTCACAACACAGGGCAGCGTCGTTCTTCGTCACCCTCTCCCATCCTCTCCACACACACAGCGTCGTTCTTCGTCACCCTCTCCCATCCTCCCTTCACACACAGCGTCGTTCTTCGTCACCCTCCCACTCGCTCATCCACCACACAGCGTCCGTTCTTCGTCACCCTCTCCCATCCTCTCTTCACACACTGCGTCGTTCTTCGTCACCCCTCTCCCATCCTCCCTTTCCACACACACAGAGCGTCGTTCTTTGTCACCCTCTCTCATCCTCCCCTTCACACACAGCGTCGTTCTTCCTCACCCTCTCCCATCCTCCCTTCACACACAGCGTCGTTCTTCGTCACCCTCTCCCATCCTCTCCACACACACAGCGTCGTTCTTCGTCACCCTCTCCCATCCTCTCCACACACACCGCAGCGTCGTTCTTCGTCACCCTCTCCCATCCTCCCTTCACACACAGCGTCGTTCTTCGTCACCCTCTCCCATCCTCCCTTCACACACAGCGTCGTTCCTCGTCACCCTCTCCCATCCTCCCTTCACACACAGCGTCGTTCTTCGTCACCCCTCTCCCATCCTCTCTTCACACACAGAGTCGTTCTTCGTCACCCTCTCCCATCCTCTCCTCACACACACAGCTTCGTACGTTTTCCTTCTCTTTCTTCTTTCCCTCACACACAATACCGTAAGTTTACTTTCATTGTGCTGCTACTAGTACTCAATGAATAATAATAATAATAATAATAATAATAATAATAAATATATCTTAATAATCATTATAATTAAATCGAGCATGTATTTAAATGTTCAGACTCGGTTTGGTCGTAACTCTCTTGCATGGACTCGGTTAACATATAGAGAATATTTTTCGACGTCTGTTAATTAACAGGATAAGTCTTTGGAACAGCCCGACATCAACAGAGCAGTGTACACGACCACTGGATATTTCAAAGTAGGTGATAGCAAAGTTGTCGACCATCATAGATATACAACTCAGAGATATTTAGATACGCAACACAACGCAGCATAGTAACGAACGCTTGCACTCGAGCACGCGCGCCCACGTACACGCAGGTACGCTTGAACTTGCACGCACACGCACGCCCAGCCATGCACGCATGAATGTGCACGCGCACGCACGCACGCACGCACACGCACGCACGCTTGAACGTGCACAGACAGGCACGCATGCACGCAGTTTATTAAGTGCACGCAAACAAATTACTTTACAATTATTGCACAATTGAACGTTTTATTATCGACACATTATTGACCTAACACGCTTAAATTGCCGTTGCATCCTGTTTATCATTGTCGTAAGCGGTAATCGTTGATGCATTCTGCAGATCTGACTGAGGTACAAATTCATGGCGGTGAATTTTATACATAATACAAATAGCATCTCCTATATGCCATAGTACTGGGAAAGGAAACGGGCTGTAGTTCTCAATTTAAACTCAGATTGACACGAATATGTCAACAGGAAACATATAAACGCAGGCTTCTGTTTTCAATGTGTACTTTCTACGACACAATGATTTCGGGTAGGCGGACTGCCGGAGTTCGTGCAGCATGCCCCAGAATCAGTATGGCCACACGTATAGGGAGAATACTACTATTGGCGGTGTTAGGTAACCATGGTAACGCGCGTGTGTCGTCTGCAGGGACAGCTCGTTACGGTGAAGAAGCTGAAGATGGTCTCGATCAGTCTGTCGCGGGCGCAGCTTCTCGAGTTCCGAGAGGTAGGTGACAGGTGCGATTGCTGTTTCGGATACCGTTCGATACACTGCACGTGTCTCTATAGCTATAGCTGGAGTCTTAATCTAATACATTTACTGAATATTTTTAATTGTTTATTCATCATTCTATGTATACGTGTACGCGCTTCGGGCGGGTTGTGTTATTTTTCCTATTCGGGTTATAGAGACGAAATGCAATAGCGAGAGCTGCCGGCAAACCGCTACAGCCTTTTGCAATATTGCCATATGGTGTTAATTAAATCAGCATTAGCACGCACTCCGCTCGCAACATGTTCTGCTAGCATCTATGACAAATACGACATTCGCATATACGCTCTCCCATGACACTATTTGTCATAGGAAGATTCTTCCTATGACAAATATTGGCGAGTCAACTTCGTTCGGCCTTACAGCTGAAATTCACTGCTTGCGTTCGTAATAGCGCTCCTAAACTCCTATGATGCGCACAACACATCCAACAATATTTGTCATAGGAAGAATCTTCCTATGACAAATAT